CTTTCTCCTGTTTCTCTTTTAGCAGACGTTTTACGTATAGGAGTTATATCTGACACGTTAATGATCAAATGTATTCTTAAGTACTTAGGGTTCATAACACATTCAGGTGAGAGTGGATCAGGCTTTTAGGCTTTTAGAAACATTTTGTTTATCACCTGTTGTCTCAGTTCTCGTCTCTCTCTTAAATTTGTGTCTGTGCTTATCTCTTTTTTTCTCAATATGAACCCTCTATGCGCCTTGTTAATTTCCCTTTTAATCTTGCTTCACACCTTTCATAGTAAATGCAAGTGCTCAGGTGTGCACATTAAAAAAATGCTCCATATTTCTTTCTAAAAGACAAATTTAATGTCACACTAAGTCTGTCAGGTTTTCCAGCCCCAACCCTGAAATTAATCCCTCCCCCCTCTATCTCTCCTTCTCTCACTGTGTTTGTCTTTCTTTCAAACTGCATTTCTCATTTAGTTTAATGCGATTTAAGAATCTGTCACACGCAGTTTGTTGCCCGTCAGTCTGTCACTGTAGCTTTGCTCACAGTGAGATTTGAGGGGTTTGTGTGGTTTGGCAGGGTGCGGATTCTCTAAGACATCCTGCACGACGGCATGTTCATTGTTTAACATTTTTACCTTTGAGACAAGATTTGCAGTTTGTTTTTTCTCTTAACTTAACTCCTCTGCCATTTGGCTTAATGGTTTAAGAGCACATTACATATGAGTTCAAATAAGTTTTTAAACGTTTTTCTTTGAAAGTCTATAAACTGAAAATATACATCCAAGGCAGCACACTGCACTTTACTGGGCACTGTCTGTCAAAACAGTCGCTATCCTGGTACACAAAAACAACTTCATAACCTTTGTTCCACAAATTCAGTTTGCAGTAGTTGTAACCTTTTGTTGGAGATAGATTCTGTCACCCACAAAGTACCGTGTGAAGATCCTTATTTTTCCTGTCTTGACTCTTAGTTCTGAGAGAGAAAATACACTTATGAAATTGCTCATTATGTCTTTTTTGAAACTGATTTGCCATGAGCCAGGTCGGGAGCTAGCTAAGGTGTCAGGGAGGAGAGAACACTGCATTTCTGGTTCCCCCACAATTGAGGAGAAAATCTAATCAGTCAAACACATGACATAAATTGCTCCTCTTCTGTCTTTGATGTGAGCCTCATATCAAACAGTATGGGCGTCTCTTCTTTACCCAGCATCGATATTATTGCTGCATCAGCTTTTTTAATTAAATTAAATTCTCAAACTGAATTTTAAGGTTTCTCTGTAATTTCAGTTTAGAATGTACTTATCTATCCTCTAATGTATATTCCACAAGGTGCTTAATGTAAATCAGCCTAAGGAAAGGAGACAGAAAGAAACATGTCCATCATCATCATCATCGTCAGCGCCTGATGTTTGTACGAGCATGCATCACTGTAAACTCTGTGGTTAAGTTGATGCCTAATACCACCCTTTTAGCTTGGCATGGGTTCGCAGATGCCTTGAAACTGTGAAGTTGATTCACTGGAAGCTGGTTGACAGCAGCAGAGATCAAAGTGTGGAAGTGAAAGCCCTGAAGATACTGCCATCCTCTACAAATGTTTAGTGAACCGTAACCTGTATCTCATTACTTTAACACTCTTCTTTACCCTCCCAACTGCTTCCATTCCTCAAGTGCAGACCTTTCAGCGTGTGTAGCAGCAGAGGAACTGTTTTGTCAATATTTAACACACCAAAAAAGAAATACAGTTTTGAGTGAATGTGAGGGGGAAAAGGACGCCAGTAACATTGTTGTGAGGCTTCATGAGTCCTTGAATAAATCCACTTACTGTAAATCTCCAATAAATATATTTAGTATTGTGTGCAATGATATCCTAATCCTAATCTGTTTTAGCATAATATTAACCAAAGCAATCCCTGTGTTGTGATTATTCTTTCAATTGAATAAGACTACAATTTGACTGGTATTCACTTAATTTCACACTGATGGAAATTAATTGGGCTTTGATTTTGATTGTGTTCTTGGATTTCCACTCTACCTGACAAATTTTAAATGATTCTGAATTCTGATTTATCAAACAGAACAGGCAGGGGACGCATATCCAAGATCACACCATAGATTTTTGAGAGTCAGATAAAAATATACATAGAAATATAGATGACTGGAGCTGTGAAAAGCTTTTGAAACTGTGACAGTCAGCAGAGGAACAATAAATCTATCAATGAAAGCCATAACCGCTGCTCATTTCTGAGAAAAAAACACCTACTGAAGGACTTTCTTCTGAAAAGAAATTCATGTAGACAGTTACACATTTTGACTGGAAACTTTTACACTGTAAGTTGTCTAATGATACGTGACAAGAAAGACAGAACAAAGAAATGTGAGGGACATTTTCTAAACCTGTGTTGAAGGTATTTCTTACTTGTACGGTCAGAGACTGATTCAAAGAATAGAGTTCATCAAATCATTGTATCTGAAATAGGACATAAGCAGGGCAGTGAAACAGCCTCATTTCCCACTCAAATCTCAACAATTCATCATAAAGGTCTTTAAGCAAATTTATACTTTAACATATTTACCAGGTATTAAATGTATTCATTGTTTTTCTTGCTCAGCCGGCAGTTTATTTTTATTTTCGACAAGGATATACTCGGTAGTTTATGAGGTTTTTACCCGAACATCCAAATTCTGCTGTTGCTGTTTGCCATTTTGTTCATGGATAGCCGATCTTGGCACGTGTGCTGATATGTAGTGCCTTCATCTTCGCTCAAGGCGGTAAATGAATGTGTAGCGTCGCTAGCATACTTCCAGTAATCTCTCCCAGACTGCTGTGTGTGTCTGGTGGCCTGTGGTGCGGAGTCTGGCCCAGCATCATCACCAAGACTCCCACATAGCTTCACATATGGTGCTGCCTTTGTGTCAATTGTGCTCCGTGGGGTTTCTGATAATTAACAAGATGACAGACAAATGAAATGACAAGCACAAGGTGGATTTGATTTTTCAGAGCCCTGTCTTTCTTGCTTTGTGTGGTTTGAACTCAACTGCTGCATGTTGAAATGTTGTAGAATAATTTAATTTCCTTCATAATATCAAGTCCACTCAGAAAATGAAGGTCTCTACTTTGGAAACCCAGTGATTATTCTAAGTTATGTGTGTATGTCTACTTTTAAACTGTATCACAATGGATTTCTCCATGAAAAAAGTCACAGATGAGCACAAATTCACAGAAGAAGAACAGACCAGACCAATGGGCTTGAGTCAGTGACTTTCTATTAAGAAAAATCACCTCCTCATGGCTGGTGCAGTATGGGTCGCTAATTAGATTAATATATTTTTATGTAAGTAATTGTAGGTAGCTCTCATCACACTGACATGTGTGATCAGATGTTCTTGTTTCAGATAAGTGTGGTTTTAATTTGGTTTGACTAATGACTGATGGTATCAGACGTACCTCAGTACCGCTGCTCTCCTCCCCCATCACTTCTGTCACCAGTGCATTTTGGAGCAGGTGTAGCTGCGTTGTCTGTCGTTTGCTGGAATACATTCACCAACAGTGAATCTATTGTGAAGACTCTATCGAGGACACTGTTCCTTCTTTTCTGTACCATGCCAAGATGAACTCCACTAAAACGTACACTCCATTGCTCTTACCCAAAAGGGAGAAAAAAATAAAGATATGTCCCATCATCATCTAGCTCAAACATACAATTCCAATTACACTAAAATTTTTATTTATTTATTTATTTAAAATCAACCATATTTTCTGCTTCTGCTGATATGATCAAAGACATTCATTATCAGGGCACCACTGCTTGCTGCAGACCCTAATTGGGGCCTCAGAAAAAGCATGCAACATTTGATATAATGGCTCCCGCCTAAGCAGGAATGCTACCCCGGCATTATGGCTTAGTTTTTATATGGCTGAGTTCCCTGAGGGAAGGACAGAGATGTCATCATTAGTGGGCAGTAGACTATGGCTGTGGTGCCCGTGATGACTGCTGAGGTCTATAAAGTGGTCAGTCAGACCCGTGGCCTAGTAGCTCTGTCTGCTTTCTGTTTTCCCTGTCTGGCTTCCATCTGCCAATGTGCCCCTTCGCCAGTCTGCTCCCGCTGGATATATTCGGGAACTAATGATGAAGGAAGCTGTGTGAAGACCTGGAAAGGGCACATCTTCTTCTTCTCTCCCCTCCGAGAAAAAGAGGGGAAAAGTCAATGTGTTAAAGTTTATTAACCAGGCTGACCTTAACACAAACAATTAACATTTTCAGAAAAACAGCCCCTCCCATTGTCTTCCTCATCTCAGGCCTAATCTTCCACCTCACCAACATCAGCACCAAGTCTTTTTCACTGTTTCCATTAGGGCAACTTAAAACAGAAAAGCAAAGTAATGGCAAACCAGTTACATGTATTTCTAAGGCAGTTGCAAGGTGATGTGGATTATGCAGTAGAAGGTCAATTATCTGAAGATCCCTGACATGTTCAGTAATTGGCTAAGGGCCACTACTGTCACAGTAAAGAGCCAACGGTGGTTTTGTGACCTTATCTGCTCACTCTGCTACCAAATGTATGTGCAGTATGACTCTAATCCTGTCTCATGAAGATATTAATATATGGAATGAAAAATGTTTTGTTTTGACTGGTTTACAACTCAAAGGAGAAAATCACAACAAACCAACGAAGATCCTTCCATTTGAATACTTGTAATGGTTGTACTGTCTGATAATGATAAACTGTTATACTCAAATAATATTCAAACAATTAGCCAACCAGGTAATTTGAACAGCAACACTCTCAGCAGCTTCACTCTTTGCTGAAATTGACTCTTTTCTCCTTCTCCTGTGAAAGATACCCTGTCATCCTTGTCCATGAGGTGATTTTTATCCTGACGTGGACAAAATTTTTTATTTGCATTAACAGTAGCACTTCTTCTCTCTCTCTCTCTCTCTGTGTGTGTGTGTGTGTGTGTGTGTGTGTGTGTGTGTGTGTGTGTGTACGTACGCTCGCTCTCCCATTTGTAGAACCTGATAAAGAACCTGCCAGAGCAGAAAGAGCTGAATGCACTGGCGGAACTAAAGGGTGAATACGAAGAGCTAGTGGAGTCGGAGCAGTTCGGCATTGTGGTGAGTATAATTTCCTTAGACTGAACAGTGGTTAAGGTAGGACCATGAATTCCCCAAATGTCTCACAATTTTTAGGGATGCATACCCAAGAGTTGAAGTTATGTTTAATTAAAATGACACGAACTGTGTAAAGGGCATTTTCGATGAAAAGAAAAACAGAAGAAGAAAATGTGTAACCAAAGTTCCAAATGACAGAGGCTATGATTAAAAAGGAAGTACTTTTAAGGCAGGCAAAGAGAAGGTCAATCACTTTTGATTAGGATTCAGTATTGGGAACTCAGTGAGTGCCATTTTTTGACTTCAGATGTCAATCTTGTCCCACGATAAAAATCATCCCCTAAGGCGATGAATCCTGTTTGTATCAGAGTTCTTTGAAAAGAATGCTGCTGTAGTCAGCTGTCTTGATAGTGTATACTCATCCTCTCATTGATTGACAATAATCAGTCCCAACTTGTGCATAGGAAGGATAAATAATATATTCATAGTCATAGCTATAATAAAGACAGCTTTATTTTCAGTCATCAGAAGTAGTTTTTAAGTATTAGCAGGTAATTACAGTAAGTGTGTATGTAAAAGTTGTTGGGTATATGTATTTGATTTAACCACATGAAAGTTTTTTTGCCTAGTCAAACTTTCTGGTACCTCATCAAGCTGTTTTTTTGTTTTTTTTGTCAGACTACTGAAAACTGTTAAAAGTGTATTTTTGAAGCTTCACAATAAGATCACAGAAATGTTCAGTCAGGTTCAAGGATCAGAGATATTCCCCATCCCCTAAGTGTTTCTCTGTACTAGTTACAGACTGTGTCGCCTGAGTAAGCAGATGTTATGAAGCAGTTGGTGCCAGTTTCACTCATGATCTCACCCATGTTGTGACCATATAATTCACTACTGATGAAGTAGCTCCTCAATGCAGAGCTATTAAGTTCCCTTGGGAAATAAGCCATGTTCAAGCTTTTCTCTGCCTGAGCTGTCATCAGCGTGCTTGCTTTCATTGTGATTTCTCCTTATTGTATATAAACAATTCAAGTGAGGGGGGAGGGAGGAGTCTGTGGTGTGTGCTTGTGTGTGTGTACATGCAATGAATTGAGGTGGGTGGGAATGTTGGTTTGGGGGAGTTGGTCTCTACTTTGGAAGTTGCCTCCAAGCAGCGGATTATGCAGCAATGTGTAGAATTTGTCAGTGGCTGCTGCTCTGCCACATATCTTACACTCAAAGCCCTATGTGTTTTAATTCCCTCCCGTTTCCATTGCCATATTTTCTCATTTCCCTCCTTTTTCTGTGGCTTCAGTTATTCCACGCCAAAGCCCACAAGTATTGATTGGAGCTGTAAAATTATTTATTTATGACAAATCTGTTTAATGGGTGCTTCCTTTGTCCATGTAGAAGTCAGGAAACAGGTTAATCCCATTTGCTAAATAGGGTAGTTGATTTTCACGTCATTAAAACTTGTCACAGCGGTATTTACACTGGGGAATTAACATGGAGGTTCTGTCTGTTTTTTTATCCACACCAAACCTTCCTTTTCCTGTTGACAAAGACAAACAAACAGAAATGTAAATAGAACTTGGAGGAGATAAAAATACAATCTCTAAATGGCTGAATACTTTTGTCATTTGTCTATACAGTGAACAATACTAACTAATAACATAATCCATTTCTCTTTTGTAATCTCTTCAGATGAGTTCAGTAAAGCTGCTTCGGCCACGTCTCAACGGCATTCTGTTCAAGCTGACGTTTGAGGAGCAGGTGAACAACATCCGACCAGATATTATGAATGTGACGTTTGCCTGTGAGGAGGTGAAGAAGAGCGACAGCTTCAGCAAGCTCCTGGAGTTGGTGTTGCTGGTCGGCAATTACATGAACGCAGGATCAAGGAATGCTCAGACGTTTGGTTTCAACATCAGTTTCCTCTGCAAGGTAACACGTCAAAAAGCACACAGGAAAAGTATGTTGTTCAAATGTATGAAGCACGAAGTGACGGTAGTGAGCAATCAGTTCTTAAAGTGTGATGTGATTTTAGGTTGTCGTCATCTAACTCTGCTGCGTCCAGCTGGTGGGGTGGTTGTGGGTTTATATTTCTATAAACCAGTGTGCACATTTCCAAATACCAATGCAAACTCACTGACACCACCCAATTTATCTGGTTAATCAACAATCAATGATTAACTTTCATGACATGAGGTGTGGAACTAAAGACAACGAAGGCAGCACTTGTAAGTCTTAGTCATGTCACAACAAAAACAAGGTGTTAAAGTTACGGTTTTAAAGTACATATATTTTTTATATATACACTTTTAATATTAATATGAAAACAACATGTGATATGTTAACATTTTAAGTTTTAGAAATTATATTGCAAATCAGAAACTGTATAGTTTATTCAGCAATAATTTAACAAAACTACCGACAAAATGTGTTGAAAGTTTCCATGTGGAGTAGACGTACAAACAAGTGAACAGCATGAGAGTCAGTTTAGTGATTTTACAGCTAAGTATCTGGTGTGAATCGTGTGGGGCCATGGTGACACGTGGTCGGTGGGCATGCAGACAGTTTGCAGAGCTGCCAACATCTTCTTGGACATCTGATAGTTGAATGATGGACATTCAGTTCTGTGGACACTGACTTGATCAGCATCTATGCCACCCCTGTCAGGTGGATGGAAAAGTGTTTAACACTGCAGATTGGAACAAATGTAAATTTGAAATATGAGAGAAACAAGCCTAAATAATTAGAGCATAAACATGAGTGTTTATACTTTTGTCGGGTATTTAAAGTGTATAAACATACTTTTAAAAATTCATTTTTTTGAAAGGTTTCTTTGATGTCTCTGGGGAAAAAAGGAAACCCTAGCTCATAAATAAATACACCATCAACCATATTTCCCTGAATGTTCAACAACTTAACGATGACTATTTGGAGGATAAAAATCTGGCAACACCAGCACATCTACCAAACTGGCAATGTGAAAAAAATAACAATATTAATGACAGCTGAACATTTCCTTTAGTTATATTGTCCCTTTCAAGTAGCTTTGCCACCACGTGGTTCTGTAGACTAGTCAAAGCTTTTTCAATATCGTATCTAATGGGTGATAAAACTGATGAGGATGTTTATTGAGCAGTCTACAGTGTTTTCAGGAGTCGTGGGGATGCTGAAGCTGGAGGAAGCCTTCTCCCAGCACAGCCTGTGGTTGCCAATCAAACAGTGGGAATTAACAAGTAAAATAAGTTGCATAATCCATCTTATAAGCAGCCAGTGTGAAAAACTTGAAACTCTTTTTTCATTGTCTCTATCCTAAGACTCTTTTGAAGCAGTGCTATTAAAAATAGAAAAGTAATAGATCAAATGTGAAAACCCTGTTGTAACTGCCATAAGCCACTGCCATACACAAGTATTTGAAGCCAATACTCGTGGTCCATGTGAAAAAAGGGACTGTATTGTGAATCCAGTGTGCCTTTGGTATTCCTGCGAGCTGACTGAATCAGTGTGGAGTGTCAGTGTAGAGCCTGGTAACGCCTCAGGGGGCTGATTGGGCCATTATTGATGGACAAGAAAAAAAGTCTGCTTTCTCACTTTAGTCAATCAAGTAAATGGCCCCCTGGGTGTCAGGTCGCGGGTACCTAATGGGCTCATCAGGGAGGAGCAGGTAGATGATGGGAAAGAGCTGCAAGGGGACGGGCACGGGTTGACCCTTCTCTGCCTTCAGCCCTCCACTACAGCCCCTTGTCCTGGCAAGGACACAGACATCTCCTGGGAGCCTCCTTGGTCAAATATATTCTTTCAGCTGAACACCCAGTCAGGCTTTACGAGAACACTGGTGAAATGTGGATTTCATGTCTTGACGCGTCTGATAAAGATCTTAGAAAAAACATGATGGGGATGATTAATTAAAAAAAAGGACATTCCATTTTTCAGAAATGTCTGTTTTTTTGTGGGGTTTTTTCATAATGCATGCGCTATAAGGAGACAAAGTAAAAGCTTAAACATAAGCATGAAAGTTCAGGAGAATAGAAGAGACTGTTCAGGAAGGAATTTGATAAAAACATTCAACTGTCTGCAGCTCAAAAACAATGAAATAATGATTCTCTTTGGCCTTAACCCTTCCATACCACTTGCATTGGCTCTCCTTAATAAATCGAGAACACATGACATTGAGTTGTGTTCAATTTCAGTTCAACTGACTCGGCTGTGTAAAAGGTACTTGAGTTGTTGAGAAGGCCTCCTCTACCCAGCGTCTGTGTGACCTTGTAATATAACCACTGTTGAAATGACTGTGGCAATTACCGATACAATTACGATACAATTAATGCCCTCAGCCCATACTTTTGTAATTGGGATGTAGTAGCATCGCTGTGTTCCTTTTTATTCACACCATTTGCCTCGTGTATGTATTTGATATGATTTATTCAAGCGTATTGAAATGAACTGTGCCCTCTTCTTATACAGTATACTAATTATATTGCATGTGTCCGTTGTGTGCTTTAGGTCCGTCTGTAGAAGTTAAATTGAGTTTTTTATTTTGTAAATAGAAATGTAAGTGGACATTTGTTGGCTGGTAATCGACACTACCTTGCCGTTCTAAATGCTCGATGTATTGTACTTACTGGTTTGGGATTTGGAATAATACCACCTCAAGGCAATTAATTTTGTGAAAGATTGAATGATATAACTGCCAGGAATTCGCTGTCAGCAACAGAAGTGAAGCAATGTTTTTACATTTCATTTAAATGGGTATATTTGTTCTCAGGACTAGCTTTTGTCACGTTAAAAAAATAACATGTAAAACAAATGACAGCTGTAAAAAGGCATGATCTATTGTCATCTTTAAATAAAAAGTATTAGAGGTAAAAAAAATAATGTAGCTGTTTAAGGAGACTCTTAAGGTTTCAGACAGTAAAAGTGTCTTTCATTTTTAGTTTTTAGCATAAACTTTTGAATGTGTAGGACGAGTGATGGTCAAGGATTAAAATGGCCAGGACTTTCACACAGACCTGCTGGATACAACCTGTGCACAGATACTGGTCCAGTTCTCACGATGCCCTAAAGCTGCATTGATTGAAATTCCTGATGTAAAACATTGTGAAAATAACATCACTGCCCCGGGGTTTATATAGGATTCTCCTTGCCCTTAAAGAGGTCCTCAACAGAATATTCCACCACTAAAACCACTTGTTTCCATTAAAGTACTGTAAATCTTCTACTCCCATAAACATAGACTATAGTTACCTTGTAAAAGATCATTGAACCGACCATGTCAAGTTTCCCAATCAACATAAAATACGTATTTCATATATATAACAAAGCATTGTAATAGAATTCATGAAATGTTTCTGATGTGGATAAAGCTATTTGAGGGGTTTGTGTGAATATAAATACTTGGACATGGACTTTTATGTCAATGATAGTCATCTAACAATATCAGTATACATCCGGTTTCATCAGGTAATTCTATCGGTTAGCTTATGATCTGAAGCCACAGAGTTTCTTCACTTATAACCACTGTACGCATGAACCCGGTTCGTACATTCTCCTCCCCTGATTGGGCTGTTGATCAGTTCATGTCCAAGTTATGTATCTGAATCATTAAAACATTGTATGAAGAACATATTACACACTAAAAATACGGGATATATTGTTCTGTGTAATAATTGTGTCAGTATGTACTGTTTATTAACATTCACAATGTCTTATGTTTCTCTTTCTCACAGTTCGCCCTCTCTTAATTACATTCTACCAATATTAGTTTGCAGATAAATTCAACATACTGGCACTTTTTTTTTGTTTGGTAATGACAGTCTGGGGTATGACAATAGACGAATTAGAATTTAAAATCCATGAAATTAAATTGTGATTACCCAACATGAGCAAATGATTGATCCTCATCTAATGAAAGTTTGTGTTTGTGTTGGTGTGTGATATGCCTCCGACTTTCTGTAATTGTTTCAGTTCACTAATGCTCCAGTGTGTGTGTGTTTGAAGGAGCACATACACACGTGGTTGCATGTGCACAGGTGTGAGCATGTCCAACTGCAGGCTGTTTACAGCACAGATATTATCAGTATGAGCACACAGAGGTGGGTTGTGCTAATTAGCTTTCCCAGCATGCCATTCGAACAGCATGGCAATCACGGTGGGGAATGAATATGAAACAAGTTGCATATGCACTGATGTGAACACACACACACACACACACACACACACACACACACACACACACACACACATCTGTGCACATGGCAAACACAGTACACTACTTACATTTAAACTTTTCTGCCTCAATGTTCTTTCATTCTCATTAGAGAGGTATAATCGTATGTGTGTATGTACCGTATGTTTGTATTTGTTAAGTCATACCTAAATGGTAGCTGAAGTACGATCCATTAGTGTGCTGTTCCATTTTATGTCCGTCTCATGTACTCTTGTTTCCATCCAGTCTCTTACTGAAGATTGACTGAAGTACCTATTACAAGCAGTCCCTAATTATCTTGGTAGCCATGTACTGCACTCTTTGTAGTTGCTTCTTGAATCTGTTTGCGGCCATGGTTGTTGCCATCAGGTAGGCACAGAGGCTTTTGTTATACATTCAGACTAGTTAGGTATAATGTATCACATATAAAGGGAATTAAAGTTACTCTTTCAGTCTCCCGCTCTTAAACTGAAGGGGATCAGGGTTTCTCTGTTGCCTCCTCCGAGCTCTGTGTCCTGTTCCACATTAGGTCCTGACCCAATATTGATCTTTATAAATCTAGTTCGTAGTACAACTTCAAAAGAAAGTTTTTTAATTCAGACGGAGTTTTTCTCATGATTGTGTAAATGTGCGTCATTATTTTAGTTAACAGCAATTTTTGGTTTTGTTATTGAGGTAATCCAGACATGTTGTTAATTTACTTATTTGGCCAAATCCCAGATTTTTAAATATTCTCACTATTATTCAATCGATTTCGATCATCATCAGAGGACAGTCTGACCTTTTCTTTCCATTTAATGTCTGCTGCTTTTTTTAATACATTTTAACTTTGATTTGGATGTAGTTAGTACTGTATGTCTATGTGGCTTCACTGAGCCGGATATTGTTTTAAAATGGGTTGTTCAGATAATTTATCTGACTTGTGAAAAAAACATTATGTAGTATATTTGACAAGTGAATTACCATAAAGAATTGGGTCACATAATTCTTTTCTCTTTTTGTTTTCAGCTGCGGGACACTAAATCCATCGGTCACAATACAACACTTCTTCATTTCCTGGCTCAGAAGTGTGAAGAGAGTCATCCGGAGATCTTGGGTTTTCCAGATGAGCTGGAACATGTGGAGAACGCCAGCAAAGGTATGTGTCTGTGTCCTAATGTCATGAGACCATCACACATCACAGCATCCACATGCACATTAAAAAAGTTACAGGGACAGACTCATCTGATGATGAACACAGTCTGTCAAAGGCTAAGGTCTTTACTCAAACTGCCAATACAGCTATATCAACATGTGCAATGCATTTTTAACCTTATTATATCTGTTTGAATTTATTTCCAACACTTCCACACTTAATCTGTTTCATCCCTTGACGACAGCGAGCACTCTCTCTGTGAGAGGAATAGAGTTGTGTGTCTGACCACACTGTCATTCAGCCTGTCAATAAACTAATTCCACTCTAATTCTATTTTCGAGCATTTGGTGGAATCCCTGCAGGCTTATTTACTGTCTTAGTCTCATAATTGGTTATTTAATCTAATTCAACTAATTATGCACTTGACTGAGGCTGCCAGCCATTGTGTAAGTGGACTGAATAGTCTTCATGCTTTGTGTATATTTAGATGTCTATATGAACAAATGTTGAATTATATCAACTTTGTCATTTCGTGGAAATGAATAATTCAAGGGTAAGTCTGTTAATTGACTGAGGCCAGTGAATAAAAGTTTCTAGCAAAACAAAAAAACCTCAAAGGAAAAACAAAGTTTACTTTGGGCTCACCTTGCTTTCTTTGTTTCATTGATCTTTACCTAAAGTTAAACTGGATTTTCATTGAGACTCCCTCTCTGCATTTAAAGACATTGAAAGTTCTAATACACCAAAATGTCTGCACAAAAACCCTCCTCCTCTCTTCCCTGTGCCTTCACTCCATACATCTTACCTGAGCATGTTGAAGCAAAGGGATTAAAGAAAGATGAAGAATCAGGAGCCTCTAAAAATCACTGTCATTAAATTTACTTAGATGCAGATCACATAGGAATACAGTGATTTGAGTCCTTGTCCTAGCTCTACTCTTAGTGAAGCTTTTACCGCCTGTAGAACAGTAGAGCATCACAGAGTTATTTAATACTCACTCAATATCCTTTACAAGCTTTTTCCTGTTAAATAAATCTGTTTTTTTTATACACTCTTCAACCTCCCCCAATTTGTTTTCATTAAAGTTTCTGGTGAAGCAATTTTCCACAGTTATATTATTATTTTGAAACCCATTCTCCGTAATCATGGCAACAACCACTCTTCCAGAGCTTCATAAGAAAAATATGGATTGTAATCAATATGTATAATAGAGTAGATGAAGTAATTAATAAAACAACACAATAAAATTGCTTCAAAACCAAATTAGACATGCAAGGCTTAAAGTTGAAGCTTTAACAGAAACTGATTTCATCCTCTCATTGGTGAAGAAACTAATCACCATATGTTTGTGCTTTCTTGGATTGTGAGTTTCATTTTAACAAACCTGTTGCCCAATCATTCCATCAACAATGAGCGGATTGTTGAGGAAAGGTTGATTCAAAAGGAAACTGACAGTGGTGTGTGTGTGCGCTCGCGTGTGTGTGTGTGTGTGTGTTTGTGTGGGGGGGGTAAATGTAATCAAACAGCCATCTGCAATGGTTTGACAATTAATACACTTCATTAATAAGTGTAATCAGGCCTGGATAACTGCCCTGGAAAATCATGATTCTCACTGCCTTGATGGACAGCTTCCGACGTTCATTCCTCTGTTGCACATTTTCTCTAAGAAGCTGGATTGCCACATTGCTATTGTACTGATCTTGACACAGTTTTCCTATAGTAGTTCATCTCAAGCCTACAAATAATTAAATAAAGGATCATGCCTGATTATTGTTAACTCTTATTTATTACTGCCCTCCTATGTATCATCAATGCAGACAGATGTGTATTGCTGGCAAGTTGGAAGTGTTGTGGTTAAGCAATTGTTCATGGATGACTCCAACAGCCAATCTGATATTATCTTCATGTTTGGACCCCAGTATTTGTTATATCTCAACAAAAGTTTGGAGTAGTTTATTGCAAATAAAAGGTTTGACATTTCCACTTACCTTGATTGAATTTGATACAAGTTAGATTTGAAAATTGCATAACGAACATCTTTCTCATCTTTCTTCATTTCAAAAAACTAGGTTACCCTAAGTAAGATGATGGTATATTTTATTCCATCAGAAATCAGTTTGCCCATAGACTTGCCTGGCAGCAGATAGTGGCCTGACGGAGCTGGAGGTTAACAATAACTAAGTCCAGCACATTGAGATGTTCCCTGAGGAGAGTTTTCCTCTCTCCCAGGATTCAGCCATGATCAAAGATGATCTGTATTAAGGTCGGTTTTGATTAAAATTCACATGATTATGTAAAGAGGCAGGGCCAGCAATCTGGAGATGTTCCAGATAGGATCTGGACAAGAAGAAGGGCAA